TCCATACATAATATATTGAATCCTGCTGCGTTCAAGCTCCACTGGTCCCTGTAATCTACTTAGCCTGGAGGCAGAGGGTTTAGCTCCTGTTGAAGTGGTGCCTCGGGTGGGTTGCAGCTACAGCAACGGACTCAGCCTGGATACGGAGCAATAGTCTGCATTCAGGTGGCCACATTCACTGTTTTCCAAGAGGGGAAAGGCTTGGTTAGTGAAGTGGCAAGCCAAACTCCACCTCAATAATCCCATTTTATGTTGTTCTACAATCTAAATATATTCCAGCCTTTCCAAACATTTCTCTGTAGAAATCCTAGAGTATTTAGTGGCCTGAATTTGAGATCATTTGAGCAAGAGACATTTCAGGTAAAGCAAAATATCTGCCCTTTTATAGAAAAGCACTGTATTTGGAGGTGATGACACTGCACAGGGGAAAGCCATATCTAGGAACAGAGCCCTATCTCCTTCCTTGACAAGGCACCCATGGTAACAGCTTTGCCTGTTGAACCACCGTGAACTTTCACTGTAACATATTATCATTGCTTGGCTTACTGTTTACTGGAAGACAGGTTAAAGATTTGCAACATTATTTGCCCTCCCACATTATTGCCGATTTTAAAGGGATATGTGAGCGGAGCTGTTCAGAAGAAGAGACTGGCTGTGTTTACAGGGTGCCAGTGCAACAGGAAGCCTGCATTCACCTCCAATGCTGTATTACATCCTTTTAGTCATCCCTTCCCAGAGCCTTTCCGTGAGCAGCCTGGGAAGCTGCCCTGTCAAATGAATGAACCTGCTAACACTTTCCACCATGCAGCAGATCCAACCACTCCTGTCTTGTGGTTTAACTTGGGGGAGGAAAATAAATAAATAATTAAAAGCAGGGTGGCAGGGAGGGAGAAGGATTTGGGCTGCTCTTCGCAGCCAGGAGCACTGGGAATTTTGACATGAGTTAGATAAACTGAAGGAAAAGGAACCAACCCCTCTGCCACTGATGGCCACCACAGGGGAGCCTGCAGGAGAGCTGGCCTCCACTAGAGGTTGTGTCTCTGCCCCTGCCAGAACAGCCTTACTGTGCCCACAGGGATGGACGGTGGCTCAGCAGCCACTTGCATGAGAGGTGACAGCAAAATGGGCAGGGACTTCTTTTCATTCTGAAGTGGAGCAAAAAAGTAAAAGCCCTTTGAGAGGAAAATTTCACAAAATGCTGATTCTGAAACACGTTTCAACAACATTAAAGGATGAAACCTTGAAGTATGCCTGACCCCTCACCCCTACTTTTCGGATAGCCTGAAATTTCCATTTGGAAGAGGTCTGTCAGCTATTTCATTTGCTAAACTTTACCTCTATTTTTCTCAGTGCATGACTATATTCTCCTTTTAGTCTCAATCCTAAAAAGAAATATACTATTTAGACCAAAATTCCACAGAAAAAGTCCACTTGTGAGATGTTTGCAGCACACTCCAGAAGTGCAAATGCTTTTTTACTTTTCAAAGTTTAGTATGCTGGCCAAACACAGGTAGATTTTCATGAGGGAGACGGGACCAAACGACATACCTTGCCTGGGACTAAGTTCTCATCTCCAAACAGAAGTACCCTATTTTGCTGGTCAAAGGCAGACATTTTTAACAGGGCAAAACATCCTCTATATTCCTCGAGGTCACTGGCAGAAATGCTGCCATGTTTGTTCTGAGGTTTTTTCAAGGATCTCCAGACAGGCTCTCATCAAGATCAGGGAAACAGGACCAGACTTTCAGAGAAGTTACATGGCACCTTTGAGCCAGTCAGACAGGCAAAGGGTACTGGCAGAGGATGACATTGCCCCCCTTTGTCCCATCCTGCAATTCTTGTGCTGTCTCCAGTGCTCTTCACGGAGCTGGTTCAACTCTGCATGGAAGACGGGGTCTACCCTGTTAATCTGCCACATTGGTTGAACGTGCTTGGCCCAGGATCCAGCATCCCCAGCGCAGGGGCGAGGAGGAGGCAGCAGGAACGCAGCCTCCCCTCCCAGCAGCCGTGTGCCGCTCAAACAGCTCGAGCCGCTGCTGAGCCGCGGCCGCACGCAGCACGAGCAGGTGCTGAGGTACCACACGGCAAGAGGAAGCTGGTGCACAGGCAGCCTTGCCCTCTCTGTCCGTGCTCTTTACACAGCACAGCGAGATGGAAAATATCAAAGGTGCTTGCGGAAAAGCTGTAAGCTAAAATGTGCTCTATCACAGGATGTTTATTACACTGCTTTGGATTAGGTGTGCTTAGTCATGAAGTCTTTGAGATGAGAAGGTAGCAATATAGAAATAAAAGCTTACGGGTGAAGTAGGTCTCCTCCTCCAGTAATAAACTGTTCTAATCAGTGATTAAAGCAAGACAAAAGAGAAGAAAGACTGTGTATAAGGTCACTCCATGAGGCACAAGTTCCTGCAGACACAAAGGCAGCTGTGTTGTGCAGAACAAGTGATAGGGTCCCCTTTGAATGAGGCAGCATCTCGCACAGGGGTGCCAGCTGCTATCAAGCAAGAAGCAGCTACACAGCTGTTCAAAGGTGCCCCACATCCTATCCTTCTTTAGCATTAGAGCAAGACCACCATTTTGTTTGAACATACGTGGTCAGAGGGATGGCACAGAGATCTCAGGCATGGCTGGGATCAGAGCTATGATGCTATCCCATACGAAGGCCTTGGCCACACAACCTGGATCAAAATTTCAGAAGCGAACACATATCCTTGGCCATTGCCCCCAGTAGGCATGTATTTGGATGACCTGATTCTCTGGAAGAACTCTACACACATAAGCCGTGATTGACTTCCTGTCCCAGCTGCTGGTAATCAAGTCCTCTGCAAACACACTCATCACTTACATTAGGTGAATAGCGGGGTTTTAAAAAGGCCAAGACATTCACCTGTGCTAGACTGAAATATGATGCCTCAGTTACCACATCTGTGACCTGGGGTCCTTGTTCCTCCGGGCCTGCCCCAAGGAGGAGGTTTTTGCTTCCAAAAGGGCAGAGGGAGATTCAATGCAGCAGTGCTGGGCTTCTGTGAATCAAGACCTGTCCGGGCCTCTGGCCCAAAGAGGGCCACCAAGCCGAGTATTTTGTGTCACAGAGCTAAACAGCTGTGACACCAAACCAGAGAGCCCAAGAGCCAAATTCATGAGACAGATCTGGTTACGCTCCTGTGTTCCTGAAGCTAATAATCTGCATCCCACACCTGTGACCTAAGCTATGGCTTCTCTTTCTCTCCAGCCTGATGACTTTTATGCATGCTCAATAATTCATCAGGGCTCCAGCTCGTCTTTCCAGAGAACCAGGTTGGTCTCTTTCCCACAAGTCCCAGACTACAGAGGAAAGTTTTCCTTCAAGAAAGCTGGAAGCTCTGCCTGCTGTAGAAAATAACCTCTTTCCTTGTGGTCACAAAGATGGTACTTAGCACAAATTAAATGCAGCAAGACAGCAGAGGTGGCTGTGTCAATACTACATCAGCACCACACAGTAAAAGCGTGCTGCATCTTCTTGTGAGCAGGAATAAGCACAGAAAGAAGCTTTGTGGATCAGAAACCACAGCCAGGGATGGAGAATAAAATTTGCAGGCATCCCAAGTAAACATCCCTGTTGCATCCCTCATCCACATATGTCTCTATAGGAGCACAGGACCACATCATCCCCTCTCTGCTTCAGCTCCTGGAGAGCAAAGGAAACAGCCAGAAATTTCCAGCTCACACAGTCCCCATCTTTCACCTGAGTAGTCCTGCTACTTTCCTGGAAAGGGCGCTATACATTTCTTACATTTCTCAGTCAGGCAACAGGCAATCACTCTGCACCCTCCCCCTTCTCTTCTTTCACATGGCAATAAAAATGCGGCGAGGAGGAAGAATGCAGAGAGACAGAAAAAGAAAGTTTCCATCTTATTGACTGATCAACCCCAAACTGCATTACTTGGCACCACCTTAAAAAGAAAGGCAGGTTCCAGCAAGTACAGTAAGAGCTGAGAAATCCAGCCCATCCTCCCTCCCTTCTTGCCTCCTTGGAATTGGCAATCAAGTGAAGCCAAGTGCTAATGGCTCATCAGCTGCTGCAAGGGGTAAATGAGCTGTGACCGGGCCCACGGATGTGGCATGCCAGGGAAGGGGTAAAGCCTGGGCTCCTTCTTTAGGTCCTTTTCTGTTCATCCGTGTTTACCCTCAGATATCCCAATAGGCAAGCAGTACAAAGGGGAGTAAAAGCCTCCACTGCAGAGGCCTCTGCCTTCCTGTTGAAAACCTTGGTGAAGCTGACTGCATAAATTAGATATCAAATACATTTTCTGGTGACCTTTGAAAAATGACCATGTTGCTTTGTTGCTCCCCTTCTTGTACTACTTTGCTACAGAAAAGGGATGTACATCCCTACAGAAAGGGATGTACAGCACTGAGAGCTTGATGGGTGTGTTCTGACCCAGTCGTTTCATGTGAAGCACTGGTTCCGGCAACACTTTAGACAGTAGGGCTGAAGAAAACAGAAGCAGTGGCTGAGGAGATGCAGGGGAGTTTCCTTGCTTTCCAGCCCAATTTCAACATTCCTGAACTGCAGAGGCTGTCTATACAGTCCCTATTGTCCATGCAGCACCCACAAATTTGAAGTGACACAATCCCTCATCAGGGTGCAATTACAGTTGCATCAGCAGGGACTGTTCTGCTGACCCTCTCAGGGAAGTTGCAAGGGAGAGGAGCCTTTGACAGGAGACCGAGGACTAGCATGAAAGTGTGGAACATTCCTCACGCTCACGGTGGGAAGCGAGAGAAAAGGAAAGGCTGTGAGGAGCCTCACAGCCGATCCTGTTCCACAAAAAGTCACTGCAAGAACAGCTCAAGCTGTGGACAAATATCAACATGGGGAATGTTCTATTTATTCTAGTTCCTGCCAACTGAAAGTTCTTCATTCCCCTAAAAGACAACATTTCCATTTCTCCCTCCCTCTGTGTGTGTGTGTGTGTGTGTGTGTGTGTAAAAGCCCAGCGTAAACAAGGCAAAAATGTACATTTTCCCCTCAGCGTAACTTGTCAACCTTAACACCATTTCTCCTTCATCTTCTCCCAGTGCTCCTGCCCTGACAGGGTTTACCCACACCAGCAACATTGAAGTGAAAGCTGCAGCGCACTTCAGGACTGTAGATAAGAACTTCCCCAAAGGACCCTTCCCCACAGCCCCCCTTAATGCAATGGGAACAGCTCTCCTGAGCTCAGCAGCCGGTCATCCTTTCCCTTGCCCTATCCCACCTGGCGGGTGGTTAGTCACAGCCAGCCAGGATCCCTCCCTGTCTCCTTCCTTTGCCACATCTTTGTGCCGTCACTTGCATCCGGGTCTCGCCCCTAAACCACACTAGGAGGTTTAACCTGAGGCAAATACAACAAAACAAGCGAGCAAGCAAACCTGTCTCCCAAGTGCTAGCTGCACACAGAGCTGTTTCCAGACAAACAGAAGCCAGAAGGATTTGTCTGCACAGCCTGTGTGACAAGGTGCCATCAGGAAGTCACTGCAGGCAGTGGTGCCATTTAGCTTGGCTTTACAGCAGGGCAGTGGGAATCTAGACTAAATCTTCCTTGTTTTTTGGCATATTTGGGTTACTTCGCTTGGAAGTTGGGCACCCTACTGATCAGGGCTGAGGTCTCAAGAGCAACCACAACAACAGGTAAGCGAGGCAGACAGCCTGGCCCATAACTCTTGCACTGAGTGTGTTACAAGCCATTCATGTCTGAGAGCTGTTAGTCAAACATTAAACTACCGTGTAGTTCAACCCCCCTGAGTAAGCTGCTGCGTACAGGCAACATTGCAGCACCGGCAGCAGACTCTTCTCAGCCCACCAAAGACAAACATTAAGGATGACTCACCATGTTAGGACCCTTTTAAAAATGTTCCTAAGTTATAGATCCATACACCTTACTTTCCCCTCACACCAGTATGAATAACACATAACTCACAGGTGAAGTCATGGGAAATTATTACTTTAGCAGAAGATGAGGGCTTAGATGGCATTTCTACACTAGGAGGGCAGGAAAGCTGTTGCAACAGAGAGGGCTTCCCAGTGCAAGTCCTCCATCTTAGGACTCATTCAATTAATATTTTTATTACCGAGCCTCTACAGAAGAAATGGGGCATATTTAGGAACTGTGTTAATGGGACAGTGGAGTGCATCACTCTTACAGAGATGGACCTAAAATATCATGCCAAAAAGATAATCAAACAAGCCAGATTCGTCTGCCAGGCTGAAGGAATGGGACAAATTTAGGACTGTAAGGAGCAAGGTGACATGCTTAGGATATTGTCATAAGAATTTTAACTTGGGGTTGATCACCTGATAATCTTGGAGAGAATAAGAAAGGTCAAGATTCATAAAGCACATATTGCTCAAAAAATGACTCTGCAATGAGACCATGAACAATATGGGAATGCTCCTAAGGTATATTCAGCAACATATTCCCAGCACAGTGAGAGAAGATTGAATACTTGGTCATGGTGACCCAGTCTCTAGAGTACGGTATATGATTTTATAACACATTTAATAAACAATATTTGCAACTGGAATAGGTGTAGAGGAACAACTGCCAGGATGATAGGCAAAACTGAGAGTCTACTATAAAGGAAATGACTGAAAGATTGTGGCTTGCTTCACTAGCAAAATGAAGAAAGAGTTAGGATATGATTTCACTAAAATAAATACACACAAAGCAAGCAAGCAGAGAGAAGCTTTCGAAATTAAGAAAACACTGCACAAGAACAACTGAGTATTAATTAACCATAAATATCTATTTTATATATATAATATGCATATCTTTAGTAGAAAAATTCCAGCACATTCTTTTGATGAGAGAAAAAAAAATAATTAAAAACCTCACTCCTAAAGTTAGGCTTGATCATTTTAATGCTGGGAGTCAGCTGACAGGTTTGTTTAGAAAAAGGCAGGGAGAGGGCTGGAAATTGCAATCCAGGATCCTCCCAGGTGTACGTTTGTAGCAGTCAGGTTATCTGGTACAAGTGAAGAGCAGTCATGGCCTTTGGGTTCAAAGGGAATCCTTCGGGGGATTTCCTCAGACAATATTACTGTGGAGACAGGCCAAAGAAATGCCAGTTGGGCAAGAATGTCAAACGGGGCAGTTTGGAGGCAGTTCAGCCACTGCAGATCCGAGGCTGCTGGGCAAATACGAAGGCGCTAGCAGCACCTTTCAGCAAGCTACACAGGGGTCTCTCCAGGCTCTAAACTCAAGAGGCCTTAAATGTTTAAACAGGAAAAAAATCTTTCTTCTGGTAGAATACAAGATAGGCAATAGGCAATGTGAGCATTAGGCCCTAGAAAGTCATGAGAGGTATAAAGACCTATTCCTGCAACTTTATGGTCTTACAGTGTTTGTCTATGACAAGTAGAAGGCGGAAAACACACCCAAGTCTTTTGCACGCCTAAGAACTTTGAACAGTCCTAAAAGAGCCAGGGGCAGGATTGGAGGTATCACAGACAGAAAGAGGCACCAAGAACTGCAGCGCTGGACACAGGAAGGGTCCCCAAAGCTGCACAACGAGGTGCCATTCAAGGCAAAGCTGCTCGTCACTATTTTTTTTGGAAGACATGCCAGGCAACACCATTCCACATTCATTAGGCGATTTTTCATTAGCAATAGCCCATATTTAATGAAGCCCATTGCAAGCACTGCCTGCTTTCCAAGGCTTTCCTGCCTTGTCCCTATTGAGGGATAAGGATGGTTGACTGGGGAGCTTTAGGACTGTTTGCAGACAAGGGGAGCAGATCACACTGCTCTCTCTCCAAATAGGGGAGTTTGACCCTGGATCCGCAAACACAAGCAGGAAGGTAGAAAACATATCCACACTATGGCAGGCAACTTTTGTTTCCCTGCAGCCCCAAACACCACCTTTCTGCGAGTACTGGCATGCTACAAACAGACAGTGACCAATCTACCCAAGACTGAGAAGAAGGGGTGAGAAAGTGGCTCATTAGACCCGCTGGCGTTTTGGTTGCCAAAATCCCTCACCACAGCGGCGCAGAGCCGCAGGGTGAGCCCGCGGGCGCCTGGCCTTGCTGCAGGCTCCCAGCGTCCGGGAGCGGCGGCAGCGCGGAGGCTGAGTCACCGGCTTAGCGAGACGGGGTGCCAGGATGTCACACACCTGGCGACGCCAGAGAACCCGCACTGGAGGCTGGCCAACAAGCCCGTGCATCCCCTGTGTGGGAACAGCCTGCATTTAGGGTGCTCTCGCACAGTGGCCTTTGGAACGCCTCTGACCAGAGGATTTGCAGGTGCCACACACAGAGCTGGCCGAGGAGCCGATCCCTTTGCACCCGAGGGCAAGAAACGGCACCAAGTTGCCTGGCAGCGGCGGGAGGCAGCAGGGAGGCGGCTCATCCCCCGGGAAGCACGTCCCCCCCTCCCTGAGCGTCAGCAACCTGTGCCAAAGGGCTGGAGGACGGTATCAGCCCTGCTCTCCTCCCCTTCCTCTTACCTAATCGTCCATGCAGGGGAGTGACTTGATTTTGTTCCTCTCTGAAGGAGTTGCGTTTCACTTCCTGGCCCCTGCGCGCCTTTGTCTCTGTCCCCTCTCCCCAAGGACTCTCCTGCGCGCCTGCAGGGTCCGCTCAGCGGCGTGGGGGGACTGGCCGCGTCCCAGCCCACGGGCATGGGAAAGAAGCTCTCCTCCCTAAAAGCTTCTAGGTTTTGGCTTTTTTGTTGATGATGTTTTAATCAGGTGCCTTTCTCTCTCCTTTGCAGCCTGCCTGTGCTGCTGGGAAGGACTTGAGGCGGCGGCGAGGGCTGAGTGCAGAGATGGCCAGAGGGAGGCCAGGGCTGCCGGCCGAGCTCTGCGCTG